AGTTGATCAACCAAAAATAGTATTTTGGAAAAGAAAAATTAAAGAAGTAAGTCAAATTTAATAGAAAAATTCAAATAATAGGCCAAATTTTTTAAAAATTAGAAAATGTTTCTTCGAAAAGAAAAAAAAAAATAGTACCATGAGTTGAGGGTAATATTAACTTGTATCAAACCAAAATAACAGAATTCAGTTTTATTTGGGAAACCTACAAATTAACGAGCTGTACACTCTTAATCATAAATAATAACCCACTCATGATCATATGTAATCTTGTTTTTTACGTGGAAGTTAGATAGGAAAAAATGAGTTCCTTTAACTAATTTGGTTAACCAATTAACTTAAACCGGCGCATATACACATTGGATAAGAGATAGAAAAGGCACCACACAACTTCCATAGAAACCTCATGAAGTGATATAAAACATTATCCCAATTAAAAGACCCAAACTTTTTTGTGCTGTTTGATTATTTTATATTTTTATGAGAGGAAAACTATGGGAAGTGTACAGTTGAATGGTTCAGGCTTAGTAGCTTCTCTATCTCCAAAACATAACTTTACACACAAAACCAAACTTAATTATCCTAAGTCAATACACAATGCCACCAGATTGAGCAGAGTCAAAACCATCCGAGCCATAAGCACTACTGCACCAGCGAGCCAGCCTATAGCCGCAGATCAGCCCGATGACGAACCTCCAGCTGTTGATTTCGCGTTCGTCCATGTAAGTAGACCGGTTGAGAAAATTCTTGTAGGTTTAATGGTGGTTTTTGTATCATTTCTATTGAAAAAATGATTTTGAATCAATAAGAAGTCGATTTATTGTGGATACTATGAATTTAATTGTTAGTCGGTGTTGTTACCGGACGGGACACCGGACGTGCATTGGAGAAGAGCTTGCGGTGGACAGAAACTTAGAGACATAATGTTGGATTCTAACATCGAACTCTATGGTCCTTACGTATGACTTTTCTCACCCTTAAATTTGATTTGTTTTCTTAACCAAATATTAACATATTAAAAATTTAAAATATATGCATGTGTTATTAATTTCGCAGAGTAAGGCCTTGTCAAACTGCGCAGGAGTAGGAACTTGCGCTACTTGCATGGTCGAGGTGTATATTAATTTCTTCTTAATAAACAATCACTAAGCTTCATTTTATAATCAAATTTATTATTAAGATCATGGAATATTTGATGATATTCTTTGCAGATTGTAAACGGGAAGGAGCTTCTAAATCCACGAACTGATATTGAGAAGGAGAAACTGAAAAGGGTATATTCTTATTATACTTTATTATTTGATATTATTTTGGTTAGAAAATTACATAAGTTTGGTGTTTTCACAGAAACCAAAAAATTGGAGACTCGCCTGTCAGACCAGCGTGGGAAATCCAGATTCTACAGGATTGGTACTATGAACCTCTTTTCTCTAATCTCTCTACATATAATGTAACATTTTTTCTATGCATGTGATTTATTTTTATTAATGATATATTTAATAGGTGGTGATACAACAATTGCCAGAGTGGAAAGCTCATGAATGGAATATTCCTAAAATTCTACCTAATGATGATGATCCCGAAACTTCTACCTGAAACGATCCATTATTGTTATTTACATATATCTCATAAAATTGTAACGGTCGAATTTCTCTATAAAATTGTAACCATACAAGTATGTCAATAACCAGACAAAAAAAACAACCATGATACAATTTATACTCCTTAGATAAATTTAATTATCATATCTATGCATATGATCAGTAACCAAAATACAGCCTTAATTCCATTAAATGATATTCATACAAATTGGACAAATATTACAACGAAACCGAACCAAAGTCCATAACAAAGCAACATATCAAGACAAAAGAATCCAAACACACAAACATGAATCAAGAATCATCATTAATTTGTTTGCTTAGAAATCAGAAGAAGGAAGAGGAACATGTTCGGAAGAAGTGATGAAGACATTTCCGTAGATAACTCCGGCAAGTCCACCACCAATGAGTGGTCCCACCCAGTAAACCCAGTGACCAGAGAAGTCTCCAGCTGCAACAGCTGGTCCAAAGGAACGTGCAGGGTTCATGGATCCACCGGAGAATGGACCGGCGGCTAGAATGTTAGCACCGACGATGAGTCCAATGGCTAGAGGAGCGATTGTTCCGAGAGAACCTTTCTTGGGATCAGCGGCAGTGGCGTAAACGGTGTAGACCAAAGCAAAAGTGATGATGATCTCCATTACTACTCCTTCAATCGCTCCTAGTCCAGCCGCAACGCTGTGTGTTGGAACCGCCTGCGTTTTCCCATTGTTTTTAGCGTTTTGTTCATTAGTGGAAAGAAAATCTAAAAAACCTCTAAATTTTCTTTTTAAGTTTAAAATGTATAACAAAATAGTTCAATCAATTAAACTAGAAGACCAAAAGAAATAATGTAATGTGTTTAACAAACATTTAACGTCGATGACATAAGAGGTGAAAAACATATACGAGTTTGGTTTTTTCTTTTGTCCATAAAAATACAAAAATATTCATTGACTTTGCTAATCTTGGAAACATTTGTTCGTTCTTAACATGAGTTTCTATTTCTAACCATATATATTTAGACGGTCTTCCAAAACGATATTCGATATATATTCAGAAAAAAAGAAAAAAATTGTTGTTTTGTGTGGCTTAAAAAATTGACATATATTTTCTGCTTTAATTTCCTTTAAAATCATTGTTAGAGGTTTCATTTATATAATCCTTACTTTTCTTGAGTTATTTACTAGCTAGGTTTCTCTAGTAGAAAATTCGAAATATACAATGTGTGTTTAATTTGTTTGACGAGTAAGGATTGGTGATGAGAACATACCAAACCACCGGTGACGAACTTAAGGAGGAAGCAAGCGGCGGTGGAGCCAAGAAGCTGAGCGACCCAGTAGAAAACTCCGGTGATGACTGTGATTTGACCACCAACAGCTAGACCAAAAGTGACGGCTGGGTTCACATGTCCACCGGAGATGTTGGCTCCGATTGCCACCGCCACGAAGAGTGCAAAACCATGGCAAACCGCAATGGCCACAAGTCCCGGTGTATCAAGAGCCGCGTCCGACGTCAGCTTCGCTATATATAACATATAAAATGTGACACATTTCATTAAGTATAATGGACCCATTAATTGTTACATATAACGAGATTTATTTAGTTACGAACCGTATGCAATGGCAGAGCCAACGCCAGCGAAAACAAAGAGTAAAGTGGAGATGAATTCTGCGAGGTAGGCTCTTAGAGAAGCCAAGCTGAAGGAATCACCAAAGGAACCAAAGGCTATTCCTGCCATTGTTGTAGATGAAGAATGAAGATGAAGAAAATGTTTTTGATGGTTTTTTTTTTGCTTAATGAAGAAGATGATAAGACCTTTTGCATGTCATTCTCCTTATATAGAGGTCTCTTCGTATATCCATGCATAATTTGAATTATGAGACTAATATTTTTATGAGTTTTTTTTGTGGTGCCCTGGTGGGTTGGGCAGAAATTAATGAATGGTTTCATGTGTTTCCATTTTACTCAATAACTATTCGTGACTTCTGTTAGGAACTTGCCTCAAAAGACTAGAATATTTGGCATTTACGTGGGAATCTCTACTGTTTTCTAGATTTAACACAAGACATGAATATATATGTACATTGTACATTGTACTACTATATGTATTCATACAATATGTACAGTCATGGCCTAGACGCGATTAGTCTTTACGAAGTTATCCTTATATAAACTATAGAGAAATCAAGTCTAGTAGAAGTGAATGTTCAAGTATAACATGATCATTGGTTCATTACAACTACAAAGATCTATAAATTCTAAAAAACACCACGTTTTATGCTTTGATTTTTAAAAATACCACCAAAATCCAAGAATTCCAAAAATACTACAAACTTCAAATTTAGGAAGAGTTATTTTTATAAATTATCACCAAGGGATTTTGAATCAGTTAGTAACTCTTCCTAAAGTTTTGAAAAGCAAATATGTTTTTGTTTGACCATATTTTATATATCGAGCGGCTGTAGGTCTCATAATTCATAAATTAGTCAAGATTTTGGGCCAGATTATCCCATTAGTAAATGGCCGGTTTATAAAGTAATGGCCGGTTTAAAGTGATTGAAATTAGGGGTGGTGGTGGTGGACCCAAAGGACAGAGGAGCTTC